GCAAAGTGTGTAAAGATAATCATTATTAATCAATATGTTTATAATTTTCAAGTACTTTGAATTCATCTCAACTACACCTATGTTTTATTCGTGCTAACTTAATTTTCACAATGATCTTATATCTCCATTGAAATATTCAAATTTCTCATGTGATCATGAGTTTTGAGAGAACCCAAAGAAAGCCAAAATGGCAGCAAATATGTTTGAAGAGAGCAAAGCCTTAAGCACTGTCTTCTTTTTGGGTGTGTAAGGAGGGTATCTAATATCCGAGTCAGCGACAAAGCTCCTGTAAAGAACTCCTTTCTTGTGGCTAAACGTATCATACGAGAATTTCCCGTGGTAAGCCCCGATCCCGCTCTCCCCGACCCCTCCAAATGGCAAATCTTTAACAGTTACCTGCAAAGAGAACAAACCATCTTAAGAAAAGCTAGCATTTTGGAAAACAGAACATTGGTTTAGTAAGGAACAAAATGTTTTCTTTCATTACGTGCAAGACGGTGTCATTGATGCCAATTCCTCCTGCAGCCACGTCCTGCACGAATTGTTTCTGCAACTCTTTGTTGTCTGTGAAGAGATAAGCCGCTAAAGGCTTTGGCTTTGACCGTATAACCTGAACACCATCTTCAATCTTCTCTACCGTAATTATAGGAAGTAACGGTCCAAATATCTCTTCCCGCATCATGGAAGATTCCTCCGCCACATCCAGTAGTATCGTTGGAGATATTTTTCTGTAAAGGAAATTATAGATTAGAGTGATGATAGTACTGTTTTATCTCCATGAACCAATTTTGTCGAATGGAAACATGTTCTCTCACAGCTTATCTTCGATTGTTTGGCCTCCATGAACAATTTTGTTGGCGACTCCATTCTCTTTTAACATACCCTCCAACCGTTTGAAGTGGAAAGAGTTAACTATCCGCGACAAGTCCTTTGATTCTAATGGTATTTTTCCAAAGAATGACTCCAGTTCAGTCTTCAGAGCATCTATCTGTATTTGCATCAGGAAGCTTGAGAGAAACAACAAACAGAGTATTGTGATTAAATTGGCTTTTATTTCAAGTAGCCTTTACCAATTTTGATGCAAAATCTTTTGTTGTGATCACGTAATCGACACCAATGCAAGCCTGTCCATTGTTGCAAGCCCATTTCCCTGCTATGATCCTCCTAGCAACCACCTTTATAATCACAACACCACGATTAGATTATGCGACCTGAATTTATCTATTTTATGCTTTACAAGCAGAGACAGATCTTAACTTGTAGATTAACATCTGAATCAACAAGAGCTGGGCACTTCCCACCAAGTTCAAGAACCACCGGAGTAAGGTTTTTCGCAGCTGCAGTCATTACAATGCGGCCAACTCTTGCTCCACCTAAATAAAGATTATAATTAATCAAAATCATGTTTCCCAGAGAGCCTAATCAAAAGTTTAAAGACTCTTGTAAAGAAACATAGAGAGGGCAAACCAGTGAAGAATATCTTGTCCCATTTCTGATCCAGTAGAGCCGTTGTTTCAGGGACTCCACCCTCAATAACTCTGATTGCTGTTTCGTCCAAGTATTCACTGAACAGCTTTGCTAAAAGAGAAGATGTTGCGGGAGAAATTTCAGAAGGTTTTAGCACAACCGCATTACCAGCTGCAATAGCTCCAATGACTGGCTCAATGGACAATACTGGGGCACAATAGAAACATCAAGAAAACATATAAACTTTGATTGGTTTCTAATGCAACAAAATTTCAAAAAAAAAAGCTTGAGCTTACAGAAAGGGAAATTCCAGGCTGAGATAACCAAAACAACTCCAAGCGGTTCTGAGACTATTTCTGCAGACGAGGGAAATGTTGTCACAGAAGTTTTGACCTGCATAGATCAGGCAAGTGGTTTAGACTAGAAACATATCGATGAAGCAGCAAAGATTGAGCGGTCTAGTTACCGTTTCTGAAGCCATCCAGTTCTTCAACTCTTTGATTGCAAGCATACATGATGATTTAGTATTCGAAATCTGAGAAAACAAGATGACACCAAAGTGATTCAACAGTAGATGATTGGAACGCAGAGAAGGAAAAAGGCACCGGAATTATATGCAAAACCTCAGCTAGAAAAGCTTCAAGCTCAGGCTTGGAAAGATCTTGATACAAAGCTTCAGTGATGGATCTCTCCTTCTCATCGATCATCCTAACAATGTTTTGAAGCTGAGAAATTCTCCACTCGTAGCTCTTTGTTCTACCTGTATTGAAGTTGCTTCTAAGGTCTTCTACAAGCGAAGCTGCTTCTTTTCCATCAAAAGCTGGTGTTTGCTTCTTTACCACAGCAGATAGTGTTGCATAGCAAGCACTAACTCCAGAGACAACCAAAACCGCAAAGTGAGAGACTTAAAGCAAGAGTAAAAAACCATGAGTATAACTGTCTCAACTAGTACTACTGTTCTTTAACTTAAAAATCCACTTTACTAAATAGAAAATGTAATCATCAAATTAGTATGTAACAACCACTTTTTCTCTGAATTTAGAATATGTAAATGGGTGAATAAAAAAAAAAGGTGCTCACAGTTTCAAGGGAGAGGGGTTGCAGGTATTGCTGCTATATCCACCAGATATCAGAAATGGTGAATTAGCCAAAGTAGCAACATTTGGTCTGCAACAAGTGGCCATTCATTCATTAACTAATTATATGCAAATCTGGTCTTTAAAAACGTGTCAGATGGTTCCAATCAGATTCTCAGAGATTCTTTATATAATCATTAATGGACCCAATCGTTCACAGAAACTATCCACAGTAAACTCCTGTTTCAATGTCTAGACCAATTTCAACTAAAAAGAGACATTTTTATACAGAAAATGAGAAACCCAAAACGAAATTCACAGACTTTGTGCGAGAAACAGAAACAAACCACTCAAACAAGACTGATTAAGCAAGTTTTAAGTAGAAAAATGTAAACTTTTCTTTACCTGGAACGACAAAAACCTTCAGAGAAACAAAGGGTATTATTATTGTTCATATCTAGAAGCTTCGTCATAAGTCGAAATCTTGTGGAAAACGAGATTGGAGGCATGGATGGTTATATAGGAGAAGAGAAGTTAGAAGGCTGTGGTTGTAAGAGAGCCGTGTAGAAGACAAGTGTGTGTGTAATAAAAGCATTGGCCCCATTTTACAGCGACAATTCCGCTGAACATAAATGCCAAAGAAACCCGGATATAACGTGAAACGGCTCGTACTGGTCTTTATCGCCACTCGTACTGGTCTTTGTCGCGGCTTGGCGTGATCCAATTCGACGGTCGTGAATTAGAGGAGGGTTTTTTGCATTTTAGTTGTGCGTGAATTGGATGGTCGATTTTGTAATTGGACTGTAAGCTTGGGACCGAATGGAATCGAGCCAAAATAATAGCGGTTTTCGGTTTTCAGCTGCAAACCGGTCGTGATTATTTAAATTTTCAGTTCGGTTTGGTTTGTTATGGTCTTAATCTGCTAATCCATTGGCACATTTCAAAAGATTTGAACGAATCTGTTTTTCATCTTTTCAATTTCTTTTTCTTTTGGTCAAAATCACATTTTAAATTTCTTAAGTTTCTAGTTTTATTTGGCCCTTGGAGGACCTTCATGGGTTACATGATCGTATTGCTCAAGAGATGGTTTAGCAAAATCTTTATAATCATTTTCTATTAGGATTTGATGTTTGTTTTCCATGGTTTGTCTGAGTCTTTTATCTTGGATTGATCTCTGTACTGATTCTCGTTTTCCATAGTTTGTCTGAGTCTTTTATCTTGGATTGATCTTTGTACTGATTCTCGTTTTATCGTTTGAATAAATTCAAAAGTTCAAAAAAAAAAAAATCTAAAGTTTCTAATTTTGTCTATTTTTTAAAAATAACCGGTTTAAACTATAAAAACCGAAATGATAGAAAAATCAAAATTTACCAAATTTAACCGAAATGTAGTGATTCTTTCTTAAAATTGAATCGAATAAGTGATAAATCAAATTGTTTCAAATCCAAAGACCGAATTCAATTATTTCCGCGAAATTGTTTCTAATCTGCTAAACCTGACAAAGGTAAAGAACCGAACCGAAATTATTTAAACCGATCCGATGACCACCCAGAATGGAGTGAATGGTGGTGATGGGGTTTTTGTCCAATTTGAAGCCATTCACACACACTATCGTGCTTGTGAGTAGAAACACATATATATATATATTTTTTTTTTTGTTGCTTATCTTTTTAAAAAATTAAGGGTTTGATAGCTGGTGGTTCGGTCGGGCTACGTGCTGATATCAGAAGTGCTATAAGCGTATCGGACCGACTCAGCGATTATGTGCTCTTAAGCATACCAGGAAAGTTTAAAACCTTTATGAGTATGTTGAAAAAAAAAAAATGAGTATGATTTTTTTTTGTCTTCTTTTGTCAACAATTATGAGTATTATTAGTGATCAAATTCTCATAAATGGAATTGAAAGGCTTGTCAGTGGTTGTGGAAAAGCTGATACGTACTACGTAGGGCTTTCAGGCTTTGATTTATGAGTTTTATTAGTGATCAATAATATTTGGGAACTAAGAACATGTGAATTGGTAGTATGTAGAAGAGTCTATTAGGATTAAACAAACAAAAAAATAAAAATTGTGGAGAGAGACTCAAGAGTATTAGTAACTCATTTTACACAATCAAGCCTTTTTATTGGTTTAA